AATTATCTCTTTTAATAGCTGTCAACCATTTTTTACAAAGCTCGTCATTTTTGGGAAATATAAAAGCAGAAACCTTGGGACCCCCTCTATAATTCTCGTGACAATTTGGAACCAGAGCATGTAAAAGGTATGCTACAATAAAATGTTAATATCTACCCTTTAATACCTATCTTTTGATTATTGTAAGTATAACCATTATAAAGTACTACGCAGACTGGCGGTGAAGGCTTTTTACTCATTTAGGTGTAATATCTTGATAAATACTTCTAGTTCTTACCTTAAAATAATTAATAAGAGAGGAGTACGACAAGCATAAAAGTTTGAAGTTCCCTATGTGGAATGTCTGGTTTGGATTTTTATTACACTTTTATTTTATCACAATTTTCGGATCACACTAAGAACTAAACAAACGTGTTCCAGAAGCACAACAAACTAGAGATAATTAATTATTTCTGGTATGCAATCGGAACGAGAAACCACTACCGGCTTTTCAGTTTAAAGGTAAACAATTTAATAATGCGCTGCCTTCACCGCCATATTTACCTTGCCCATATCATGTTGATTGGCTTTGAGTTGAGGTGGTGCTGGTCAAATCAAATCGCAATGTTGCCAGTTGTTGGCTGGCGCACGAGCACGGTTCTGCAATGTGATTGGGCGTATTTTTCATACGTCATCAATTGGCGCTTTAAAATTATTTCAAATTAAAGCAATTTTGAGGGCCTATAAAAACATTATTCAATGTCATGGAACTATTTTTTTGGATAAATATACTGAAAATAGTCTTCCATTTCAGATTTTGTCCTTGAATTGGGTATTTTATTTTTTGTGAAAGAGCCCATTAGAAAAAAAAATCATTAATTAATTTTGAATTTTACAATAAAAATAAAAATAAAATTGAAAAAACAGTTTTTTTGAAAATCTCGAAAACCGTTTCAGTTAAAGAGCTAAAAATTTAGGTGAATTATTTTGATTGGACACCAAATCGATCTCCTGAGTGCGAGTTAAAAAAGCCGCGGGGGCAGATTTCCCATATTAATCTAGCTATACCCTTTATAAACTCACCGGCAAAAAAAAACGGCCACTAAAAACTAGTCCCAATTTTAAAGTAGGATTTCTCGCGAACCACTCATTAGATTTTGATGATTTTTTTTTTAAATTGTAAATTAATTCCTTCTTAACGGATGCTACGTCAGAAATTTTTATTCCGAATTTATTTTGAGCATTGTAGCCTCATCTTTTGTGAGCATTTTGTTTTTTTAATCACGACATTATCTCTCTTTTTATTGGAGCTACGCTGCTTTAAAACGAACGTCTCGGAAAAATGCTTCGCAGGCAGAAAGTTCTATGTGTAAATAATCAAAGCGAAAACGGATTTATGAGTATTTGCAATATGACAACAACGGTTGTAAGATTAAAAAATGCCATTATCTGTGACGGATGTTGCTCGTATGGTGGCTTTAATTGAGGATGGCCGAAGTCAAAGTTATGTGTCCGATACCCTGGGCATACCTCCAACAACAGTCCAGGATGCCTGGAATCGGTATATAGAAACGGGAAATTTCACCAGGCGAATGGGTTCTTGAAGAAAATGGAAGACAAATGCAACTGACGACCGCTTTATTGTCCTGAATACTTTATGAAATCGTAGAATTACAGCGTTTCAGAATCAACATCTGCTACAAGCCGTGCGTAGAACTCAAGTCAGTGAGAGAACAATCCCACGAAGACGAAAAGAAAACAGCTTGTCTGCAAGGAGCTGCCACAGGACCCCAGCTACTTCCAAGACATCGTCGAGCACGTCTTCAACAAAAAAAAGCAAAGCATTTTGACGATTCATTTGACACATTTGAATTTGATTTGAAATTTTGTGGATTTGTCAGTCTTTACGGAGCTTATTTTATGTTATTTATTATTTATTCTACTACTGATAGTTGTATAAAGATAGTAGATCTAGATGGAAATTGTGGCAGAACTTAAATTAACAGTGACACTATCGCGATTTATCGAAAAAGACTCTAAGATAGTTGGTTGTGTAGCGTGTGGTAGATCTCGGCAAAAAACGAGTGAAATAATGGAACAAGTTTTCACTAGTAAGTGACTATATAATATACATACGTGTAGTAAACCGATCATTTATGAAATTCACTTAAATTAACTAATTATATATTTTTTCTTGCATTTTTGCTTTTATTTACTACTTGTCAAAGATTAGATGTCAAAGAATTTAGATACGTCAATTTGACTTACCTGATTCAGTAGCGTATCGGATGTTTATGGTTATAAATAATTATTATAACTTATCTATTTTTATATCTCTCTATATATATATAGAGAGAGAGGGTTATCCCGTGGTCTAAAAGGAATTTTTAAGAATGTCAATGTCAAACTTGTGTATAGTGCTAATAATAAATTACAACAATTATTAGGTAATCCAAAGGAAAAACACCTCCACTGGAATGGTCGGGCATTTATGAAATTTCTTGTAAAGATTGTAATCAGAAATATGTTGGGCAAACTAGAAGATCAATATTAACTAGATTTAAAGAACATTTAGCTCAGATAAGATATGGTAGACCGGATAACTCTTGCGTTGGCGAACATGTTGATAAAGAACATTGTACAGATCTGAATAATTTAAAATTAATTAAACAAGTCTCAAATTACAGGCAATTAGATGCATATGAAAGCATCAGAATTAATAAATGTAAAGATAGTATGAACAGAGACAACGGTCCAATTCCTTTAAGTTCCTTCTACCAATTTCTTCTGTTCCTACTACTCTAGTAGCGGAAATCTAACTGTTACGCTCAGTGGGCTCTGACTCGGTTGGCTAGATTTTGCCACGCCCACTCGGTGTCCACTGAGCGATTATATAAACGCTCAACTTGTAGATTGTACTTTAGTTCATAATCATCTGCTGATGATGCTAACATGGTTAGCGAAACGCGCGTCCAGTGTAAAAGTAAAAGTGTTTTGGTGTATTGTGGTGATTTAGTGTTTTTATTTTGCTGTGTAACACCAAAGGTTCCAACCCTCAACTGTAATTATCTATTTTTATTAGAATTTTATATTTTTATAACAATTTTAATAACTACCAACATTTATTCACAACGTAAAATAAAAAAAATTATTGAGTCTACCCCACGTCTACCCTACATCATGGTTTTACATTTTTTAAATAAAATTAGAACGGCACTGATAAACCGGAATTAAGTCGGCCATATTTGAGGCCCATCGCGGTGGACCTAAAATTTTTGATATGCCCCTTCCTTAGTCTTCTTATTCAAAGGAATTAATTTACAATTCAAAAAAAAATCATCAAAATCTAATGAGTGGTTCACGAGAAATCCAACTCTGAAATTGGGATCAGTTTTTAGTGGCCGGTTTATTTTTGCGGGTTAGCGTAGTTAACAAGCTACAAAATCGTAATCTTCTTACTGCAAGTTTGCTTAGGCTCCTTTTCCTTTGGCATACCGGATTCGACGAAGTATTTGGTGATGATGCTCTGTCTGATGGCTTTATTTCGAGCCGGTTTACACGGAAAACCGCACGTCTTTTGTCCCGTTTCCGGACACGTGGGCGACACGTCGTTTTTCGCAGAGAGGATCATCTCCATAGGCGTACCGTATTGTTTTTCTTCTGAAAAAAAAAGTGTCAGATTTGCCACTCTTTAATTGGTTTGTGGAAATTGATCCTATGTTTATTTATTTAAAGTTTAAAGAAAATGAAACATATACAGGGTGGCGCCTCTCATACACCGCGGAAGCTCCAAAGGGCACGGTAGTTTATATTGGAATTAAATTTTGGTAGCGTATGTAGGTAACTGAAGCCTTTTATAATATACATATTTATAAATATATAGAATTATACAGGGTGTCCCCAAAAAAAGTTACACATCAAAGTTGTGTTTTTTTATAATGGAACATGGAACACCCTATATATGAATTGAGATCTACCACATTATTGAGATCTACCATAATAAGTTACACGAAAGAGTTTTGATTGCATTGGTTTTAACTTCTGTGCGGAGGGGGTTAATCTTTTTTTGATATAATATAACAACAAAGGATTAACACCCTCCGCATGGAAGTTGTAACCAATGCAATCAAAACTCTTTCGTGCAACTTCGTGGTTATAAATAGTCAGATCTTGTTGGTAAAATAGCAATTATGGGAAGGAGCCGTTCTGGCGACCGCCTTTCGTAATCCCAGAATGAGCGAAAAAAACACGCTAAATTTAGATTTAGCATTAGCAACGTTGCTTTAAATGCCAGAAACACATAACCCAACATTTTCAGATTGTTTACAAATTTATTTTTGCAAATTTTCCTCTATTATGCATAGTATTGGTTAAAAATGTAACAGAAAATAGCAATAACATCATTGTTTATTGAATACCTAACAAAATATGTGCTAGAAAACCTTAAAAATATGAGAAATTAAGAAAAATTCGATGTTGAAATAATTTTCCGTTTTTCTGAAAAACAGTAAGAGACCGCCAAGAAAAAAGTTCAGATTCGTAATCTACGACCTCAAAATAAGGTGTATACCAATTTTGGTGAAAATCTGACGATTTCCAGTTTTCCCAATAATTACCGAAATTATGTCTTTTAATTAAAAACTAAAAAAAAATCTAAAAAAAATTTCAAAAAATTCCGCATTTTCAAAAAAAAAAAAAATTCGCGAACAAACCTTATAGGCGTGTTTCTGGGGTTGAACTATACTACCAGTTAAAATATTTGCACTTATTTCTGGGACACCCTCTATATCTTAGGAATATGTGAAGTGATCTGAAAGGAAGCCAAAAGTGCAATAATATACAGGGTGTTTCATTTAAAAAAAAATCATCCAGATCTACTCACACTTTTTTGAGACACCCTATAGAAGTTAAAATATTTTCCTGAAATACATCCGTGTACATACTTACACTTAAACAATATTCCCAAGTATTTTATTCTAGGAGCTACAGATGCCCGACACACAGGTAATATAGTAACAAAAAAGACGAAATATATTTATTTGTTAATGGATATTTACAAAATACACTATGTATATCAAATACATTAGATTCATATCTATCTATATATACAAAAATACATTTTTGATTCAAAATTTCCCTATTCCCCTAATTTTGCTGCTGTTATTTGCTGAAATATCCCTTGTTCTGTACTTTAGGGTCATGTATCCTGTCCCTTATGATGAGATTGCCCAATCTGGATATGGCGTCTTGGTACTCCGTCGCTCCTGATGTTACTGTTGCTAAAGGTCCTTTACTGCTTCCAACTGCAACAAAAATAATATTAAAATGTTAGTGAAGATAATGCAATATTTTGAGAAATGACGATAAAATTTATGTGATAACTTTTGCGCAATATCTCTCTCTTTTGCGCATAGCATTTGTCCAATATCCAATGAGACAGAGATGGTTTCGACTACAGTCTATTCAAAACCAGCTTACCGAATTGCATGTAACTCTGTCACGAATTACCTATAACAGATGCGAAAGAAAGCGACTGCATCGGAAACCGCTCGGCAAACCCCACACGCCTATTGAGTGGTGTAAATACACCAGTCGTTTAGTCCGGAAACCTATGCTGTGTCGTATTCGCTTGCTGGAATGATATAGTGCGTGGTTATATGTTTCTTTTTAAAAACGGGTGTAGGATTTTTGTTGAACTTTTGAACTGTTATTTCTAAGTTTTGGTAATTTGTATATCTTATTTAAAATGGGATACAAATGTGTTTATTTATAAGGAAAAAAAAGATATTTATAGTATAAAAAATTAATTTATTTAACAAAATTTAATTAGAAATGTGACAAAATAGTACCTTTCCATTGGTTCTTTCGGACTTTTTTTTTCGACTATATAAATCTTTATTTGTAAACTTTAATACATCAAATATTTTTTTAATTTAATGATGTAAATAAGAGGAAATTTCTCACATGGGTGGTCAAATTCTATAGTTTTCATTATATCAAACAGCCTCTGAGAAATGTTTTCAACACAAAATGCCTTTAATTATGTTTGACTACATCAATTAAAAGGGTGTTCAAATACATCAATGTGATATTTGTCTAAAATTTGCAAAAGAATCCGAATCTCTGGATAACTCGAAATTATTTACCTATTTAAAAGCCTTTGATCATGAAAGTGGAAAAATTTGTTCATTTTATTTACTGGAAATGGAAAAATTATTTATATTAAATTTTGATGAGTTTTGCACTGAAGAAAACATTCAGAGGCTGTTTGATATAATGAAAACTATAGAATTTGACCACCCAATGTGAGAAATTTCCTCTTATTTACATCATTAAATTATTTATTAGAATGAAAATATTTTATGCATTAAAGTTTACAAAAAATAAAGATTTATATAGTCGAAAAAAGTCCGATAGAACCAATAGAAAAGTAACTCTTTTGTCACATCTTTAATTAAATTTTGTTAAATAAATTAATTTTTTATACTATAAATATCTTTTTTTTCCTAATCTCCTACGAACTGATATAATATGCCGAGCAATCTATTAAATTACTGTGAGATTATATGCCTCGATAACATATTGGTGCAGATTATTTTCACCCAAACAAATAATAACCCAAACTATACATTGATGCAGATTGTCTATGAACTCTTTCTGAAGGTCACAGAAAGCTGAACGCGTAATTCGGTGTTCTTTCGCATCTGTTGTAGCCTGTTGTAGTTAATTTGTGACTCTTTGTACAGGAGAACGACAGTTGGTATTGAAATGAAATTTTATGAGCTTTTCAGAGCACTTTTTAAAAATATAGAGAGTTCTACAGGGTGTCCCCAAAAAAAGTTACATATCAAAGTTGTGTATTTTGTAATGGGACACCCTATATATTAATTGATTTTCGGATTCTGGGAGAAAAATAAAAGTGAGTTTTATAAGAGAAGTATATGACTAAAATGTAAGGTTTTTGACATATTTAACATTTTCTAAAAATGAAGAACAATTTTTAAATCACAATAAAAGCTACCTAAATTGGAATTTACCCGGTATAGCCTAATATATAGTTAAATTAAGTATACTATTGTACTTTAAATCAAAGTAAAACTTGATCCAAAAAGTTATACAGGGTGAGACAAAATTAACATTGAACATTGGTCACCTTTAAAAGCATGTTAGTCTTTTGTTTTAAATGGAACACTCAGTATATTATTCCGATATTCAATGGATAATTCATGCCTCTTCAAAACACTATTAAGGTTGCCTACCCCTCAAACAAAGATTTTCCTAGATATTTTCATTTACATGATTTCATCTGAGTAGATCTTTATTATTTAATAAAATCTAGGTGGCAGTGATATGAAGATCAACCAACCAAACCAAAGCAAACCCCAAAATGTTTTCAAATAATAAAGATCTACTTAAAAAGCTTAAAAAATGGCGCTTTTTATGAAGTCATGGCCAACTATGGTTTCCAATTAAAAAAAAACATATGTTTGTGTCATATGTCAAAAATGACAGACTTTAGAAAGAATCGGAGAACACAAACTCATTAAGGATGTGATTATCTACAACATTTATCTGAAAACTTTTTGTCTAAAATAAATTATAATGGAATTGGGACAATTTTTAAAATAGCCAAAATTTGTTTTTTTCGAAATATCTAGTAAGCCATGAACTTTTTCAAAAATCTAAAAGGCGCATATTTATTACAAAATTGCAATTCTTTTCCTATTTAACCGATTTTCTATCTTCAGTAGTTTCCGAGATACCCATAGAAAACATCGTAGGAAACTCACCCTGTATAAAGTCGCGGCAAACCCTACCCAAATACTCTACATAAATCTAACAGGTAACTTTACACTGTATATTATAACAAAATTCTGCTAAAAATAAAATAAAAATAAAAATCAAGAAATCAACGTACTACAGTAGGAGGCTTCTTTGGCTGTGGGAATGGTACCTCCATGACTCTTTCCGCTACTTCTGGAACCACCATATCCAGTGATTTTCGATTTTTGGTAGATTTTGCACACGTCTTCTGGTAGTGCTATTGGTTCTGAACAAGGTGGTAAGCCCTCCACACCAGCCGCTCTCAGTAATTCGTCATAGGGTCCTGATGGGTATTCATCTGGAAAAAATGGTGTTAATAAAATTATTTTTTTGTACATTGTATTTAAATACGTACTCGTATTGAGTGAGCTGGAATAAATCCCTGTTATATTGTAGATATTTTTCGCACAGACGTTGAATGATTTATTTATAATATACTCTATGTTGGGGTATATTGATTATAGGTATATACTAATATATAAAAGGACGACGGCAATGCTCCTGGCAGAAGAACATCAGAGATTGGACCGGCCTGGACTCACATACTTTGCTGAGAAGAGCGAAAAATAGAGAGGAATTTGCCATGGTTGTTGCCGATCTTCACTGAATGGAGAAGGCACTTTGAGAAGAAGAATATATAAAATCCTTATGTGACTGACTAACTGATTATTCACGATCCTGCTCAAACCACTCAACGTAAGAAGCTCAATTTTGGCATACAGGTTGATTCTAGGGTGTAGAGGTTCGATAAGAAAGGATTTTTCGAAATTCCAGTTCCAAGAGGGTGAAACCACCCCTCAAATATTACAATATTTTTTATTTAAAAAACGTTCAAGTTTCCGAAAAAACGCTTAAACACGTATATTTTATTTTGTTTTTTTACATATTTTAAGATTTTTTAAAAATGTATACAGGATGTTTCGAAAAATCTGGTCATTGATTAATCACGATCCTGCTTAAAGCGCTTGACGTAAAAAGCTGATTTTTGGAAAACGGATTGACTTTAGGGTGTAGATGTTCGATAAGAAGGGATTTTTCCAAACTCGAATTCTAAGGGGGTGAAACTATCCCTCAAATATTAAAATATTTTGTATTTAAAAACCGGTGAGTTTTTCGGAAAAACTCTTAAACACGTATATTTTATTTTGTTGTTTTACATATTTTAAGATTTTTTAAAAATTTATACATATATATTATATTTATATAGGGTGTTTCATAAAATATGACCATTGAGTAATCACGATTCTGCTTAAACTGCTTGACGTTTAAAGCTGATTTTTGGCAAACGCATTGATTGTGCGGTGTAGAGGTTCGATAAGGGGGGGTTTCTCGAATCTCAAACTCCAAAAGGACGAAAACGCCCCTCAAATATCACAATATTTGTTATTTAAAAAACGGTTAGTCTTTCGGGAAAATGCTTGGACATGCATAAATTATTTTGATTTTTTACATATTTTGAAATTTTTTAAAAAATCCTACAGGTTGTTCCAAAAAGTTGGCTAATTGATTAACCACGATTCTGCTTAAACTGCTTGACGTAAAAAGCTTACTTTTGGCAAACGGATTTTTCGAAAGTCAAATTCCAACGAGATGAAACTACCCCTTAAATATTACCAAGTTATATAATAATATCGCCATATTGTTTTTTCTCATGCTGACATAAATGTGAGAAAATTTTATCCCGTTTGTATGTTAATGGAAATTCTTGCTTTGCTTAATCATCACCATTACAAATGATTAATTCGACGCGAACGAAGTCGCGCGGGTACACGCAAGTAATTTTATAAATTGACCCCAATATATTATGAAAATCTTGGACGACTCTCTCCCTCGTTTAAAAATGACAGATTAACTTACTCATTTTGCAGAAATCTACTTGATAGGTTGTTCTCAATCGATCCCTGTTAATTCTGGCCAACAAATCGTCAGGCGGGGCTGTTCTCAAACATTCGTATATAAATGGATATTTTTCTTGAAGCTGAAGCATAAAATTATGTTTCTTATAACTAACATCATAGTATAAGATAAACATTTGCATATAGGCTTGGTGCATTTCAGTTGATTTCAAAAAATTCCGACCGCGGCGCTGTATACGGCAGAAATCAGAAATTTTCGGTATGTATTTCACGCCGCGCCGTCCCGGTTACAGTTTATGTTGATCACATTAAAATAATATTGAAATCGGGGCTTTGTCATAATATTTAATTATTTAAGTTTTTTACTAGTGTAGTTATTGGAGTAGAAAACACTCAGGTAGGAGGTTTGTGTGATGTAACGATGTTTCGGCTAGTAAAATTTACGTGAAAAAAAAATTAAACTAGGCATCGGCGTCGTGTTGTGACAATTTTAAATGTTAATAAAATTGCCAAAAAAAAGTTAATGCGTAAAGGAGAGCATAATTAAGGCGTTGTTGGGTGCAATAACATACAATAACTCAACTTTCCCGGATATTCAACTCTCCCGAAACAACATTTTATAGCTTCATAGATTCTCACACCGATTTGATCAAAAGCAAAGGTGGATTCAAGCAGTTCGACGAAACAAGTGAGTAAACAAAGTGCTTGTTATATAATCAAAAAATTAAATAGACATACATATAGTATATGAGTACTATGAGAGGATAAAATACAGGGTGTCCCAAAAATAAGTGCAAGTATTTTAAGGGGTGGTAGACTTGAAAAAGAAACATTTTTTCTCTTTACCATTTTTCAAATAAGTCCAAAATAACCGAGTTATTTTACTTTGAAAATTCAAACACAAAATTCTTTTTTGCTTAAATTTTGAGAACCACTAGATCTTTTCTGAATTTTCTTTCATGTAAATTTAATCTACCAGTTGCCATATTTTCAAGAAATCATGTTTTTGGAAATTTTCAAGAAAAAAAATTGCAAAAAAAACTCATAGGCGTGTTTCTGAGGCCGAAATATACTACCAGTTAAATACTTATTTCACTTATTTCTGGGACACCCTGTATAATTTGCAATATTAATGGTATACTTTTTTAATCAAACTAGTGATTAAATGTTTTATGAACATCTTCTAAAATTATCAATATAATCTTATTCTTATTATCAATATAAAAATTTCGTTATAGCCGAAATGTCGTCAAAGCCGATGATTAAAACAATGCTCGCTAGCGTAGTTGAACTTATCTAAAAAGTTTTTTAGCTGGCATAATAAATTATAATACAAGACGTCCTGAAGATATCAAAATATTAACTTTTTTATTTTTATTTTTGGAATTTTCACAAAATATACTTCCTAGCACTTTTAGAATAATTATTATATAATAAATTTTTCGTATTACTCGCTATTTAAAACTGTGTGTTTCTATATACTAGTTGTTTACGATATTCTCCGATGGTGGCAGCACCGACGGAGAATGCACCAAGCCTATAGACGGTATCAAAATTTCTCTATGACAACTGTATAATGGGCAATCATAAATCACAAAAATCGCTATTTGGTCGCTTTTCATCAATCATTTGTTTAGTTCAAAATATATTTTATTGAAAATTACATCTTTAACGTCAAATATTATTAATGATAATAATTATTTTAGATACATAAACCATATTTCTAGCACCCTACAAACTTTTTTATATCAATGTGACCATTAGCGTAACCAGCAATTTGCCCTGGGGTGGGCCTGGGGGGCCTGGGGGGCCTGGGGTTGATCCAAGGGGGCCTAGGGATTTTGTTTTTTTATAAAAATGAAAAATAATTTTAAAAAACATATTTTTTGAATAAGAGGTTTACATGAATTTCTCTATCAATAAATTTTATATACTTGATTATCAAACCGTGTTCCCGTAGATTACTTAAATACCTATAAGTTTTCTAAAAAAATAATAAAAATTAACAGATTTTTTGAACACAACAAATTAATATTGACTAAACAAAACTAGAAAACGTCATTTTTACTGCGTCACAAGCAAATAAAAATTAATACGTAGCCAAAGTTTACAGAATAAAATACGTAGCCAAGAGTCATAATTCAGGATTTCTCTGGGGGTGTTACACCAATGAATGTGACACAAATTTGATATGTACATGACAATACCTTTTGTAGAAACACGTTGGGCTGGTTAAACCTGCCGATTTGCGATTCTGGAGCGGCAGACACCTTGGCCGGGTAGATTTTGGGGTCCAACAGTGGCCCCATGGGCCCCAATCTGCTCCAGGCCTCTTCTTCGTAGGCTACCGGCGCTAGAAGGTTCCTTTGTTGTTGGTTTTGATCAGTGTGGGGTTCCCCGATGTTGTGACATTCGCATGGTATCGACTGGCTTTGTTGGAATTGGTGCGTTTCTGGATGTGGTCTGTAAAGGATAACAGAAATTTATCTGGGATATTTTTAAAATAAGAGAAATGGTTTATAAACATGTAATGAATGTAATGAAACATAATTTTTTTGCGGACGATACTAGTTTCACTTGGAGCGGCCCGGATGTTACGGCACTATATAATACTAACGCACCATTAAATCTTGGTGCGATGCTAATCTCCTATATCTCAACCTATCAAAAACTAAAGTTTTGTCATATAAAAGTACTATACAACTTTTTGTACTTAATAACACCACTATTGACGCCGTGGACTCTGTGAAATTCTTAGGACTTGTTGTACACAACTCGTTAAAATAGGACTTGCACGTTGAAGCTTTATCAAAGGAAGTAAGCGCTGCTTGTTTTGCGCTAAGATCAGTTAACTTATAACTAAGAAACTTAACTTATCAACCTCTAGAATAGTCTAGTATGCCCTTCCATTCTGGGGTACTTGCTGCGCGACAAAATTTGATCGTATTTTCAAACTTCAAAAGAGAGCAGTTCGATATTTATTGGGACTGAACAGTAGAACTCACTGCTAGAAATTCTTTAAAAATTTCAAAATACTGACTCTTCCTTCTATATTCATTTTTGAATCGTTTGCTTAATCCGCAAGCACATATCGGCTATTCCCGAAAAGCCACCTTACAACTATCCAGTTAGGAATGCGGAGCACGATCTTTATCTGCCAACCCTGAGCTCAGAACTAGTTAAATGCTCAATAGAATGCCAAAAAAATGTACAATCATCTACCTTTGGATATCAAGTCGCTTTCATTCTTTCCCGCATTTCGCAAAGCTCTGAAATCCTACTTTCTCGAGAGAGCCCTATCTATATGCGGTAAACGACTTTTTTGTTGATGTTTAATCTTGAACAATTTTGAATTTTAATATTTTGATCATCTCACATACTGGTTAAAAATCTAGTATTTAATATTTTATAACTCTTACTCAAAATTTTATTGATACGTCTTTTTTTGTATTCTGCAATGTCCATGCATGTATGTTATATTTGTAATTTTAATGGCGTAAATTTTTTTGAATTGTATGATTTGGTTTGGTTTGGTTAGTATTGAATGATATTTTTTGTTCTTTTGTTTGTTTTTTAAATGCTATTTTGGCTTTTTGTACAATAAAGCGTTATTTATTTATTTAATTATTAAAACATAGACCAAGGTTCCAAAACCGCCTAAAATATTATATAGGGCGAGTCTTAAATAAATGCAAATATTTTCAGGGATGGTAGATTTCGATAAAAGAAACAGATTTTTCCTTTATCGTTTTTCAAATAAGTCCAAAATAACCGAGATAGGTATTTTACTCTGAAAATTAAAAAAATAAACGATTTTTCAGAACCACTGGATCTTTTCTGGCTTTTCTTTATTGTAAATTTAATCTACATGAAGATATTATGTTTTTTAACAATAAATTAAAAAAAATTCCAAAAAACTTTTCAAAAATTTTCAATTTTTTTTCACGAAAAAACGTATAGACGTGTTTCTGGGGTCGAAATATAACTACCTCTAAAAATATTTGAACTTATTTAAGAATTATCCTGTATATTTTTTCAAACTATTGTATTGTATACCTTATTCCTAAAGTTTTCACGTAGGGCCATAAGTAGTCCTTCCTGTAGGTGGTAACAAACTGATCCATCACCATCTTGAAAAATGTATTTGGATATACACACGAGAATTTAGAGAAGTTTTGCCTAAAAGTGAAGAAAACCAAAAGATTGAAATCGACTGTCAACTGACAAGCACTGACAATTTTGGTTAATGAATTTAGACACACCATACCTACCATAAAGTTATCTAACAATTAAGTTTACTAAAATATAATGAATAGAATAATCTTTAAATTTCGTGATAACTTTTGGTAAGTTTTCTTTATAACTTGACTCTCAATTAGAGTTGTAGGAAAATGATGAAATGAGGTTTTAGTGTGCTATACATTTAGAGTTGGATGATTGTTCGTGAGAAGAGGAAATTTAGTTTAAAGATGAATAAGGCCAAGTAATATCTATAAAATAGATAATGTAAAGTAATTTATTTAAATCATTTTGTTTTAGTAAGAAGTTTATTAAATATGGATAACTTTTGTACGAAAAAATATTAGTAGCTATAAAAAGATAATATCGCTGAATTATTATTTCAATATCTTTACTTATTTTTTGCTGTTTCTTATGACATCAATAATTCTATAAAATATGAAAATATTTTAAGTAAAAGAACAAAAATAGCTAAACGATATAATAATAATACTGTTTTTAAGTTTGGGTTAGGTTAGGTTAGGCTACCCGAAGAAAGTGTCTTAACAAGTACAAAAACTTAAAAAAAGAAAAAGAATTCATCTACCAGGCATAATTGAAATACTTGACATACAAAAAATGTTCATTTTGTAACTCTCCATCTAATAAAAAAATAATATACGTGATGGTACATTTAAAAAAAAGAATAAAAAATATTTTATATTTTAGAAAGTTTGGCCTAGAATTTTGACACTCTGTACGAATTAAGATTACGATATTTATTACAAAGTAAGTATAGACCATCTAAAGTAAATACCTAATATAATTTTATTTCAGGACAGGTTCTTGTATTTTTAATAATTTTTTTAAGAAAAGTTACAAAAATATATATTTTTTATTTATTTATTAATATTTCTGAAACTATCGAAATATATTTACTCATATCTTAGGATTATGTAGTCATCTGAAAGGATGCCAAAAATGCAACAATATACAGGGTGTCCCGTTTAAAAAAAATCATCCCGATCCGGTCACCCTTTTTTGAGCCACCCTATAAAAGTTCAAATGTTTTCCTGAAATACGTCCTAGTACATACCGTATGATCGAAAAAAAAAACGGCGTCAGCGATAGCTATGAAATGAAGAGCGCTGTCATTTTATATGGGAAATGTCATCGATCGCCATTTCCCAGCCAACTGGACGCGTTTTTTTCGATCATACGGCACGGTTTAGGTTTCCGCTTAAACAAAATTCTCGAGCTTTTTTTATTCTAGGAGCTACAGAGACGGACATTGCCGGATCCTATACAGGGTGGTCCGAACTGTATTCCGGAATGTGATATGTAAATGTATGTCCTAAAATGCTTAGTTTCGGAGATACAGGGTGTAGAAGTTTCATTTTTATTCCGATTTTTTCCAAATAATTTCTGAACTAATATCGATATTTGGATGAAAATTGGTGTCTGGTAGTTTTTTAATATGAAAAATTTGACTTTGATGCCAATATGACTCCTACTTGTAGAGGGCGCCAGCTACATATTTTTAACTGGTTTGAAAAGTAATAACTTTTCATCCGTACTTGTATAAAACTACTGAGTGAAAAAATATACATTTACGACCTTCTTTATGTAAAAAAGGTCTCTTAGTAAAAATCGCTAAGAATAATGGTTCTCGAGATATTTGGAATCGAAATTATCAATACCTGTCATTGAAATAATAAAAGTTCAACTGAAACTGTTTTATCATCATTTTCTCGAAGAAAAATTTATGATTAATCTAAAAAAATAAAAAGTTCCTAAAATTATTATCATTTAAGTCAAATAACTATCTACTAACATGTTTATTTTTGTCATTAATTTACTATTTCCATTCCAAATATCTTGAGAACGGTTGCTCGTAGTGATATATATAAAAAATCACGGAAATATATATTTGTTCACTCAGCAGTTTCATACAGGTACGGACGAAACAAAACAGTTAAAACACATGTAGGTGGCGCCCCCCATAAACAGGAGTCATACTGAGATAAAAATTCAAATTTATCATGTCAAAAAACTCTCAGACACCAATTTTTATCCAAATATCGATATTAGTTCCGAAATTATTTGGAAAAAATCGAAATAAAAATGAAACTTCTACACCCTGTATCTCCGAAACTAAGCATTTCAGGACATGTTTATATTAATACGAACTTTTTTACTTATTCTTATCTGCAGGATATGCTGTCGAAGTTTCCGGGATACAGTTCGGATCACCCTGTGTAATAAGGAAGTAATTAAGCATCTTCCTGAAATATTACTCCGCCTGTCATCTCGTTCATACATCAACTTTCGCGCTCCCTAACGTAATATTAATATTCATCTAAAACAAAGCTGGATTGATAAGCGTCTATTTGTGTAAATCCGCGTGTAAATTTAGCGTGCTCAAGATCATCGGTGACGATCGTCTCTGGTGTGTGTGTGCTGTGTTGTTCTTGGCACCGGTACGCAGAGGATATTTCTGAAACGCGCCCAAAGTTAAAGCCGATCGCTTCCTATCAATTAACCATTGATTTATTTATCGGAAAATTGCGGTAATATGTCGACGGAGTTCATTTATTTTCAGAGATTTTCGTTTTTTCTCAAGATGCAATCTTCCTCTTGTTTTAATCTATCCGGTTGTCTTCTTGTAGATACTTAGCTACATAGCTTTGATAATCTGTAATAAACATTTTTTTGTTAAAATGGATATGGTAAACAATGTTTATCGTTCAAACCCAATATTATTACAAATTCTTGCACATTTCGATTTGTAGTCTCTTGGGTTTCAGAAGAAATTTGACTATTGTGAAGAAATTTGACTATTGCTTTTGGTCTTAAAATGCCTAGAAACATTATTTCACAGAGTCAGAATAGTAACACTGTCTCAACAATGCTACCGGCAAGTTGCAATAGCTGAAATTGTAGGAGTTAACCAAAGCGATGTTTCGCGAATATTAAAAAAATCGGGGAGACAAACGAGGTTACAGCCCGGCCTGGAAGAGGTAGAAAGAGAGTTACTACTGCTGTGCAAGACCTTCAACCTAACCTAATTGCACGACGCAGTCCCCTGCTTTCTAGTACTGCTATTAATAAATGCGTCAAGAAAGACCATAGCAAGAAGACTCCATGACAGAGGATTACATTTAAGGAGGCCTCTATGTGTTCCGAAGCTTAATTTACTGCACAAAATTACGCGACTACAATGGGCTGAGAAGATGAGAGCAAATGGATCTAATTAATAAAACAAGAATAGGCCTAGTGTCAGACTCGCGACGAACTTTGGACTGGAGAGCATCTGGAAGACGAGCACGCTGAATGCAGCTCAACCCAATGCCCCGTTTCAAGGGGGAAGCATTATGGTATGGGCAGGTATAATGCACGGAGCTCGAACTCCTCTTGTTTTTATTGATGGCACAATAAGAGGTGCCTCATATCTTAGAGACGTTTTAGAGCCTATTGTGCGTCCATTTCGAGGGGAGGGTTGGGGATGATTTTTTTTACATGGACGATAATGCTCCTTCCCATCACACCTTAGCGGTTCGCGAAGTTTGTGAGGAAGAGGTTATAAGAAAACTGTGGTGACCACCGATGTCTTCAGATATGAATGTGATCGAGCATGCTTGGGACATGCTAAAACGCCATATTGCCAAAAGGAATGATCCAATTACTATTTGCTTCCGTGCATTACAACTGTTTTTAAAGTTGTGAAAAGCATTTAACAATAATTTTATGTACGAACTTTCTGTTTAAAGCTTGTCAGGCCAAGGAGACCACCCATTCGTCGACCGGTTTCGGAGTTATATTCCACCATCAGGACGACTTTGGTAGTCTACCTCGGCCTGGCAAGCTACAAACAGAAAACGCACGTCAAGTACAGGGTGGGTCAAATTCGACGCTTTTAAAGGGAAACATCCTTTTCTGTAGGAGATAGACGAAAACTAATATCAGTGTCTGGAGCTCAATTTTTATCAAAAACATGATGGTGAAAACCGCATTTCGATATCTATTACCGTTTCGGAGTTACGGTGTGTTTTTCAAAAATGTGCATTTTTAAAAAATCGCTCTAACTTTTTGCTATGGAAACTTTTGTATTTTTGTGAAAACATTTTCAAAGCACCTTTTTACATAGAATTTAATAGTTTAAGTATATTTTTTTTAAAATTAATAACTTAAGAATTATCAACAAAAAATTTATTTTTTTATATGGGACGTATATTTTTAACTACTTGAAAATAATTTAAAATTACGTTTCCATAAATATAGCATACTTCATATTTTGCTCGATTCCTCTTTGAGATATAGAGTTTTTAAAAATTCGCCCACTTTGAATAAGTAGGCTTTGAACGGCGCCGGCTGTAATGCAAAAAAATTCTAGCTGTGAGCAGCAATTAAAACGAAAATAATATTTGCAATGAGAGATGCAGAATTCTATAACAATTTAAACTATATTTAACAACATTAACACATTTAAACTATATCTAATAACAATAAAAATTAATAGTAAATAAGACATGAGATTTTGCTACAGCTGTTCGACATGTCGACCGTCTTCTGTTATGGACAGACGGGACCGTTTTTGAACATTTCTCGCGGAATTCATTAACTCAGTGAGGGTGAAAGATACCCTCGCCTAACCGCTAAGTATTTCTAATTCTTGTTTAGATAATAGGGGAAATTTTAAAATAAGAACCTTTATTCTTCCGCAAAGATAAAAAATCCACTAAGGATAACAGGCACTAAGTTCGGCGGCCTCGACGACCAACGGCTGGGATCTTGGTTAGCTATTCAATTACTCTCGAAATTGGCTAAAAAATTTGCTGATAACTTCAGCATTCTGAGGTGGTGCCTCATCTTGTTGGAAAAATATGTTTTCGAGTTCCATTAGGAGCAGATCATCGATAAGGGGTCCAAAGCCTACTAGTTGAAAGTGCCAAACTTTTAAAAATTCTGTATTTCGAAGGGGACTATAACAAAATATCAAGCGTGCTATATTTTTGGAAAGGTAACTTTAAGTTCTTTTCAGCTAATTAAAAATATACAGGGTGTTCCATATAAAAAATAAATTTTTCTGTTGATAACTCTTAAATTATTAATTTTAACAAATTTATACTTAAACCATTAAATTCTACGTAAAAAGGTGTTTTGAAAATGTTTTCACAAAAATACAAAATTTTCTATAGCAAAAAAATTACGGCGATTTGTTAAAAATGCACATTTTTAAAAAAACACCCCGTAACTCCGAACAGATATCGATGTGCGGTTTTCGCCATTATGTTTTTGATAAAAATTCAGCTCCAGACACCGATATTAGTTTTCGTCTATTTCCTATAGAAAAAGGTGTTTCCCTTTAACAGCGTCCAATTTGACCCACCCTGTACTTGACGTGCGTTTTCTGTTTGTAGCTTGCTAGGCCGAGGTAGACTACGCAAGTCGTCCTGATGATGGAGTATAACTCCAAAACCGGTCAACGAATGGGTGGTCTCCTTGGCTTGACAAGCTTTAAACAGAAAGTTCGTACATAAAGCTGTTAAATGCTTTTCAAACTTTAAAAACAGTTGTAATGCAAGGAAGCAAATAGTAATAGGATTATTCCTTTTGGCAGTATGGCGTTTTAGCATGTCCCAAGCATGCTCGATCACATTCATATCTGGAGACATCGGTGGCCACCACAGTTTTCTTATACCCTCCTCCTTCCAAAATTCGCGAACCGCTAAAGTATGATGGGGAGGAGAATTATCGTCCATGTAATCAAATTCATCCCCTACTGCTCCTCGAAATGGACGCACAATACGCTCTAAAACGTTTCTAAGATATGAGGCACCTGTCATTGTGCCATCAATAAAAACAAGAGGAGTTCGAGCTCCGTGCATTATACCTGCCCATACCATAATGCTTCCCCCTTGAAACGCGACACGGGGTTGAGCTGCATTCAAGCGTGCTCGTCTTCCAGATGCTCTCCACTCCAAAGTTCGTCGCGAGTCTGACACTAGGCCTATTCTTGTCTCATCACTAAACATGACGAAATTCCAATTAGGTCCATTTGCTCTCATCTCCTCAGCCCATTGTAGTCGCGTAATTTTGTGCTGTAAATGAAGCTTCGGAACACGTAGAGGCCTCCTTAAATGTAATCCTCTGTCATGGAGTTTTCTTGCGATGGTCTTTCTTGAAACATTTACTCCTTCAAGGCGAGCTAACTCATTTTTAATAGGAGTACTAGAAAGCAGGGGATTGCGTAGTGCAATTAAGGACATTTGACGGTCTTGCACAGCAGTAGTAACTCTCTTTCTACCTCTTCCGGGCTGTAACCTCGTTTGTCTCCCTGATTTTTTTTAATATTCGCGAAACATCGCTTTGGTTAACTCCTACAGCTATTGCAACTTGCCGGTAGCATTGTTGAGACAGTGTTACTATTCTGACTCTATTAAACTGTGAAATAATGTTTTTAGGCATTTTAAGACCAAAACAATGGTCAAATTTATTCTGAAACCCAAGAGACCACAAATCAAAATGTGCAAGAATTTGTAATAATATTGGGTCTGAACGATAAACATTGTTTACCATATCCATTTTAACAAAAAAATGTGTATTACAGATTATCAAAACTATGTATAAAAAAAGATTTTTTAAATTCCTTTCCGTATATTTTTAAACGATATATGCAATAATTTTGGCCATGTGTGTATATCTGTGTAGTATATGCTTCATGTTAGGAGACTGTAATTCGAGATTGAGCACAGCATTATTTTTAATTAATTTAATAAAATCTATTTTAGCTCTAATTTCCATAATTTCGCTGTTGTCAAGATTTTAGTTAAACCGAGGGGTAAACGGCCGACGAATTTCTCTACAATAATGCCAAAAAAAAAACGAAATAATGCTAAATAATTTCGTACTAATATCAGTAATACCACGAATAATGCCAAAATTGCCAACATCAAAATACACCAGCGGTTTACCCCTTGAGTTAAACTTTGTTATACATTTGCTCAAATATTCGACATTGTTGAACGAACCTGGGCATCTTATACTATACCGTGTCTTACCTATAATTCCAGTGCAGGTGAGTAAAGGTGACGTTTCCATCATGTCTGTCAAATCGTTCAAAATGAACGTTTGGAATGCCTTGACAAGGCTCGTTCAAAATTTCGTAATCTACATATGTTTAAGGTTTCTGATTAAGTTCGTTTGGAGGAAAATTAGGGACAGCAAACTGATATCTGATGTGACGAGAAAGAGAATCCTGGGGCAGTAATTTAGTGTAGTTAATAAGGCAAAATTAGCGGTAAAGAAATTTGAGTGAAACAACTGATTTAAAGTGAATAAACAATGGAGACTTTTTTGACAACCAACAAGGAAAATTATAAGTGGCCCTATGGAAAACCTATGGTTCCCAGGTTAGTTTTTAAATTTATAGATATTTTTATTAAAAAATGTTGTTTTTTTGTAATGTGAAATGTGTGTGTAATGTCTGTGGTGTACAGGGTGGTCGAAATTGGTCTGTTTAAACAGAGAAAACCTATTTCCTGACTAGATAGAGCAAAACCGACATAGATGTCACGATCTCGGTTTCTGTGAAACGTTTAATGGCGTAAACCGCCTGTTGATATTTTCACTGCCAACCGAGATACTGGGTCTTTTTGAATTTTTTACCATTTGGAAAATTGCCCATAACTTTTTATTTTACGGAATAATAAAATTCTGTAAAAACGCTATTAGGGCACTTTTTTAGGCACAATGCAGTGGCGGAGTCAGTTTTTTTCTATGCTTGCTCTTTTTGTCAGAAAAAAAAAATATAATTTTTTAAATGGAAATCATAGTTGTCTATGAACTTAAAAAAATGCTGGCGTTTTACCCTTTCCAATGATCTAAAGTTATGGACATCTATTTCTAAGAATGAGAGAAATATTAGGTTTTTGATCTTTATATCGAAGCGGGCCTTGATTTTGTGTTGACCTATTTGCCTAATTATTTTTTATCACAATTCAATATTCTATATTATTATTTATCTGCATAATTAAAGACTTTTGAAAATGTAAATTAACATTCTATATTAGTATCAGTAATCACAATTGAAATCGATACAATAAACAATTGTTCAATTTTATGTATAGCCCTTTCAACAGATCTTCTTCTTATACTTCCAAATGCATTTTGTACTCTTTGTTGTAAATGATGAAGTAATAATGCCCCCCCCCCCCCACCCCTTGGCGACAGGTACCTGGCTGGCCATTATACTGCTCCATCCATCTTCCGGGGAAATGATTTGATTAGTTTTTTATGTTATTTATTTTCTATTATTTTTTATTACTTTATTGTATTTCATTTTCCGTATTCAATGTTTTACCGCACGTCATTGTTAAATTTTAAAGCTCATCAATATTGTAACGATGAATAGATTAAATATTTGAAAAAAAAACAGAGCCGGACTTGAAATTAGTTTAAATAAATTGTGTTTAAATGCCCTACACAAAAAAAATATTAAGAATTTAGTTACTCGAAAACTTGGCCTTTCAAGCAATTTTTGAAACTCTAGAGGGGGAAAAAAGCCCATCCTTGCCCCCCGATTGTAAAAATTATCTTGTAGACCGTCTCAGCCACCAATCAAGACGAAACCCAACAACTGCTATGTTGCCAAACTGGTCGAGCCTTACTGTCATTGCGACTTCCATTTGTACGAACCGGAAATGGGTAGATACATGAAATTGGCCGAAAAAGAAAAGGCTTTGTACGAAGAGTTGGATACTCTAAAGAAACGAGTAATAAATAATTTGAAAAATAGTTTAGAATTTGTTAAACATTAAAAATAATCTCTTTTTAGATGGCGGTTCTTGTAAGTGACATTTTGGACCATCCCTGCGACACTGACGATGAAAAAATGAAAACTATATATGAGACAGATTACGCGAAAAGAGGTAAGATTGTTACTGGAAAGTGTTTGGATTTACCATCTAAAATAGAAATGAATAAATAAAAATGAAACTGTGTTAGAAAAAATATACAGGGTGGTCCGAACTGTATACCGGAAACTTAGGTAGCATATTCTGCAAATAAAAAGAAGTAAAAAAGTTCTAAAATGCCTAGTTTCGGAGATACAGGGTGTAGAACTTTCATTTTTATTTCGATGTTTCCCAAATAATTTCTGAAGTAATGTCAATATTTGGATGAAAATTGGTGTCTGGTCGTTTTTTGACATGAGAAATTTGATTTTGATGTCATTATGACTCCTATTTGTAGAGGGCGCCACCTACATGTGTTTTAACTGTTTTGAAGAGTAATAACTTTTTGTCCGTACCTGTATAAAACTACCGAGTGAAAAAATATACATTGTCGTAATTTTTTAAGTAAAAAATGTTTCTTGGTAGAAATCGTTACGAACAACCCTTCTCCAGATATTTAGAATGGAAATAGTCAATATATGTCATTAATGACAAAAAATAAACATGTTAAGTAGACAGTTATTTGACTGAAATGTTAAATTTGGGAAATTTTTATTAAATTAATCATAGAATTTTCTTCAAAAAAATGATGATTGATGATGATTTGGCACAAAGACATTTCAAATTTATGATTTCAGTCTATTAACTAATTAGTCAACATGTTTAATTAATGTCAATAATGACAGGTATTGATAATTTGCACCCCAATGTATGTATGTATATGTATGTGATAATTTCAAATATCTCGAAAACTATTACTCATAGCGATTTTTATTAAGAGACCTTTTTTACGTTAAAAACGTCGCAAATGTATATTTTTTTACTAAGTAGTTTTATACAGGTAAGGATGAAAAGTTCTTACTCTTCAAACAAGTTAAAATATGTAGGTGGCGCCCTCTGCAAGCCTCCCAGACACCAAATTTCATCCAAATATTGACGTTACTTCAGAAATTATTTGGAAAATATCGAAATAAAAATGAAACTTCTACACCCTGTATCTCCGAAACTAAGCCATTTTAGGACATACATTTATAAGAACTCTTTTATTTATTTTTAACTGCAGAATATGTTGCCGTAGTTTGCGGAATACAGTTCGGACCACCCTGTATATATTTAATATGTTTAGGCGCGGTCTCTTCAGTTATAAATAAATAACTTTTATCTAACAAATAACTATCTAAAAGATAAACAATCTAGAGCCTAATATCTATAGGATATAACATTTGGGTATTTTCATACAAAATAATCCAATAGATAACAATTTGGAGGACGGCCGCCTACGGACCGGTAGACACTCCGTAGAGAAAGTGTTGCCAATATAAGATATCTGAAATTGAGATGGTTATATATGAAAAGTCGATACAACAGACAGAGACAGAAACTCGGAATTTCAAATCGTTAGATTAAAAAGTGAGGTTATAGTTCAGTTGTCAAAAGATCGTCAAAATGAAAATAAAAACAATAAAATTCAACTAAAATATATTTTGTTTTCAACTCCAACTAGTTCTATTATGGTATAGGCTATTTAAATTTACCTTTATGGAAAAAGGGAAAGATAATTCAATTTCAGCAGTGGTGGTGGTGCAATAGATCTATTGATGGAATGCGATTTATAAGAAATTAAAACAAGAAAAAATAATCTGTAAGTAATTTATAGTTTAATTACATGATATTACTGTTATATTTATTATATTAACATTTTAGTACAATTGATAATAGAAAATATGGAAGAAGCAGGTAAAGTGCAAGCAGAGATTTATAAACCAATCCTAAAACCGCCATCTGGTAAGTTATTAATATTGAAAATTAAAAATAGCATAAGACTGTTAGTAATAACAAATATGTTGTTCTAGGGCTTCTCATAGTAAAGAAATAGGTAGGATAGCATCAATGATAGTAATTAAGGTGAGTTTTTATTTTATAAAATAGATAAATGCACTTATACTTTTGTCTTAATAATAATAAATGAATAGTACCTATAATAATTGTTACATTTACACATTATATGTACAAATTATTTAATAAAAAAAATTAAATAAAAACAATTTTGTCATATTACTTTTATTTTTAAGAACTCAAAGTGATGGAACTTCAAAAAAAAAAGAAAAAATAAAGGAAAAATCTTGTCTAAACAAAGTTGAATTAACTGGAATTCAAAGGACCACAATACAGATGTTTTAGCAAGGTTTAGCTAGAGAGTTACTTAAAAAACAGCATGGAGAAGAGATGTACCGTATGATCGAAAAAAACGGCGTCAGCAATGGCTATGAAATAAAGATTGCTGTCATTTCATATGTAAATTTATATGGGAAATATCATCGATCATCATTTCCCAGCCAACTGGACGCCGTTTTTTTTTTCGATCATACGGTATAAGGTACATAGTGCAAGAAATTAAACTAAAATTGTAACACAAAAGAAATAAAAGCAAATGTGAGTTGAATAACAGGTTTTATAAGGTTCCTGTTATAATATTAATGAATTAAGATATGCGAATTAAAAATGAAATAAATAGTTTGATTTAAAAAGTTTTATTTATTTTTTACCTACTTTAAAGCTTTATTAAAAACTAGTTGAAGCCTGGCGCTATAACACGCTATCCGTACCTGAAAACACCGGGGGTTAGGGTTTCAAAAACATGTTTTTTTCTTTGTGGGGAGATTCTCACGTAAAAATAAGATTTATTTTCTAGGTCCAATTCTGCTTGGTTTAAATCAATGTATGTCCGATTCTGCTTCATTCTCCATATCCATTCCATATCCGTTCCGTATTTTTTATTGTATTGACGCTATATGTAAGCTTCCTTTACGTATCAGTTCCATACTTTTTATTGTACAATTTATATCATTACGAAAGTTTTATTTTAAAAATTTGTATCTTTTGAACAGGGGTGGATGAGGAAGTGGAACCGGCCCGGGAAAAACAGACAACCGGCCCAAATCCACAAAAACAAACTGACCATAATGAAGAAACATATTTTATTTATTAATACAAGGTGTCCCAGAAATAAGTGCAAGTATTTTAACTGGTAGTATAGTTGAACCCCAGAAACACGCCTATGAGGTTTTTTCTTCGCAAAAAAAAACTGAAAATTCGGAATTTTTTGAAAAATGTTTTGGAATTTTTTTTAGTTTTTCGTTAAAAACATAAATTCTTGATAATATGGCAACATAGGTAGTAGATTAAATTTACAAGAAAGAAAATCCAGAAGAGATCCAGTGGTTCGAACAAAAAATTATTTTTTTTTGGAAATTTTCAAAGTAAAATAACTCCGTTATTTTGGACTTATTTGAAAAACGATGAAGAGAAAATATGTTTCTTTTATCGAGATCTACCACTCCTTAAAATACTTGCCCTTATTTCTGGGACAATCTGTATATAAGTAAGGGTGTTTTTCGCTCGTGCGAAAAAGCTCTTTTGCCTCCGGTTTTTTAAAAAAAAATAAATTGTCTTGATCAAAATTTTCGTAAAGACCAATATTGGGTCGGACATCTGAATTTTTATTACAAAATGGCTCAGTTTTACGGGGTTCTACTGCTTTATTTCCATTATCGATAACGGTAATTTGATCTTGAATAGGCTACGATTCTGAGTCACGATTTTGAGAATCTTTAAGACTTCCTGATTCATTCAGTTCAGCTGACCCGATCCTCTGTGAAATACATTACTTTTAGCTTTTCGGGTATATACTTTCTTACACATTGTAGAAAGATATTCTCTCTTTTCTGCTACAGCAGCAGCCTCCTCGTGTACACGTGTTTGTAACTGAATGAACCGCGGTCGCCATTAAAACTGCAGCATATTTTAGGTTATTATATAGTTCTTATCATGAATGCTATTCATCTTTTTTTTTGCTGCCAGTCAGTCATATTTATTAGTTATACTCTGTTTTTTTTTCTCAGGTAAGATTTCGACAGACGATGACAGAAGAGAAGCAGATGACGTCCCATACCAATCTATTTATTTTACTAAAAAAAGTTTCTAATAATTTTTAAGTTATCTATGGATGGGTTTAAATATAAATCCGTTATACGTCGTGTCTTGTTGTTTTTAACCAGTTTTATTGGTTTATTTAAAAAATGACAGATCGTATTTCAATTTTATTGGTTTGACAGAACGATGAACGACAAACGGACGCCGATGTGTATGAACTCGCCTTTAGATTTTTGTCATTTTTGACGCTTGTCAAAGTCTTGCCAAATTATAGGTTATAATTTTGTGTCAACTTTTGTTAAATACCCTGCGTTTTGAAAGATGATGCAATTTGATTCGTGTTATTACGTATGTTTTGTATCTTTTGAAGTCAAGTGGAGGAAAAATGGAGTGAAAATTAACTGTAGACCCAGAGCACAGATTATGGTTAATACTCGCTGCCCAGGCAGAAAGTCTTATACACCAATGAAGTTGCCATCGATAAAGTTTGTATACCATTTCGTCGTAGATAAGTGCATCTGGTATATGGTAGAAGGATAAACACGTACTAAAAACTGGAGTAGCTGTAAAATATCGACATCACACGATAGGTAAATAATGGATTTTAGTACTGCAGAAAAATAATGTCAAAAGGTACTGGTTTAAAAAAATTAAGATTAAAGTTAATTAATCAACCTTTAAGGTATAAAATTTGGTAGGTGTTATTATTAATAAAAATTGTTTGTTTTATTTACCTATGTTGTTTTATTTATTCCTGTGGAATATTACAAATTTGTATTTGTACATAAGTTATATTAATAAATATAATCATAAATGCGGGTAGTTTCATAAAGCTTGAAAGTAAATAATAGTTCTTTTTTATATTTTTTTGGTATGTAGTGTCTTGTTCTTGTTTGTTTTGTATTAACACATACCGTTTTTATTAAATAAAATAACTCGATTACATTTTTTCAGTTTTATACAGTTTTATTCACAATATTTTGAAGTAATCACTTGTCATCTTGTCAATCAAATTTTAAATATTTCCTGCTGTGCGTTCCAGTTGTACCAACTTATTTCTTTGAAAAATAAAATAAACTACTTTGAAATTAAAATGACAGACACATCTATCACTGTCAAGGATCTTCTCGTTGGACAGACTATATTAATAAAAGAATATTGGGTAAAACTATACAGGGTGAGTGTTAAACAAGTGCAAATATTTTCACGGGTGGTATATTTCGACCCCAGGAACACGTCTATGAGGTTTTTTGCAAAAAAGATGTTAAAAATCGAGCATTAATTTTTACTAATCCAATCTTTTTTGAGCCCTGATCGGGACCCGCTCACCGGCCCATTTTTACACCGGCCCACCGGGTATTTCCCCGTTTTCTCATATGGCCCATCCACCCCTGCTTTTGAAAAAGGCAATAGATTTAATTAAGAGACGAAACAATAAGTAAATATCAGCAAAATGTTAACAGAGCTGGTACAAATGTAAGAACTAGACAACGCTGTTTCCGATACGGTTCAGTTCGTCCGCCAAAAAAATGTATGGAAGGAAATGATATGGAACGGCAGGGAAACGGAACGGATAGTGTGCATTGTCCTATTCATTTACATGATATAATATTTTATATGAACGGAAGGGAAACGGAAGGTAGCTGATATGGAAGGTATAGTGTGAATCAACCTTTAAGTACTCTTACATTCTTTGAGTTCTGAATATTTTTTTTTGAACATGAGCTAACGAACTCAATCACTATAATATACCGTTAGGATTAAAAATAATCCGCTGGCAATATGCGAAGTTTGTTTTTAAATTTTGATTCGGATCAAAGGATCGATGCTTTTAAATAAATTTAAATAAACTCGCGCGATGTCATAATGGGTGCCAAAAAAGTGTATGATGTTGAGACGGATGATAGTTTTTCGATTTGACTTTTATCTGAATAACGGCGTGACCTTAATATCTAATAACCGATCGATTTCGAATCTGTTTTAATTTTGACTTGATTAAATAAACTGAAAACGTTATAGATAAACGTACAACATAATTTCAGAACAGTATCTAGATAAACTACAGGATACATCATTGGTTTTGGGCCCTTAAGAGGCAAGATCCCATTTCACTAGTCCGAAAAAGTAGCAATATAAGCGTTCGGCATTTAACGTTTTATGTAAAACTGGCTAGGTATTTTTACACAAATGAAGAAGGAAATTAAAGATAAAGGATTATACACACAAAGAAAGAAATACTTCATTGATGTAATCATATTTTCTCAAAAGTTTTTACTAAATTTAAATAAACGGATACTTTTTTCAAGTATATATGTTTTGTTTAAATATATGCATTTGCTTAACAGCAAAATAATAATTTTTCATTATATTTTCTTAATTTAAAATAATATTTTTGTTTAGAAACTCTGATAGTATTAATTAAAGTTTTAAATATACTGCCTCCAAAATAAGTTACATTTTCTATTTAAAATACCAGTCTATTTCAATGAACTTTATTAGGTTTCGATCAAGAAAAATAAAATATTATTTTAAGAATCTTATATATTTCATTTAAAACAAATCTTTGCTTTAATTGTTTAGTATAAGATCACAATATTATTCAAATAAAAATAACCAAGGAATTAAAACAGAGTTTTTCTTAAAATAAAAATATTTTAGACATTTTGAAACTACTATGTTTCTGTTTAAATATATTTTGCTGCACAAACCAATTAAAAAATAAACATATTTACTAGGATTAAAATTATTTTTTTTATTAATTTTGTCTTGAGAATTAGCAAATTTCATTTCACCCCTTCCCATCACTTGTTTTCTAAACCTGCTTCAGGCGGCCGGTAATCGGTATTTTATAGTTGAGTTTTGAGTTGAACAGTTGCTTGATGGGACGCGGTAGGGGTGTTGCATGGGTGTTGCTCTTGCGTTTGGTGCCGTGGTGCGAATAATTATTAATTATGGAAAAAACGTTAGTAGTTAAAAAGTAAGTAAAATACTATAATAAATAAAAAATGTAATTCTCTTTTTACTCAGCTGAACTCGCTTTTGAATTTACATAAGCAAAAACTAAAAATAATTATTTTTTAGTCGACTTCAACAAGATGAGTACAATTCTTTGGCTGCTAAAATAGTGCTCTTTTTCCCACAAAGCCAATGGGAGTGTATTACTGTCCCCCTGTGAAAAGAGCATATTGTCCATTTCACAAGACAGTTATGGCTAAGGGCAAACTAGTGAATCACTGCAGAAATATTTTATTTAGATCTGGTGATAACCAAAAACAAAGAAAAAGGCCAGATGACGAAGACTTTTGGTATTGTCCCGAAACAAAAAAAAGATAATTTAGAAGGTATAGCATTAAAATAGTAAAATTTAGTTGAAATTAACAGAAAGCAATCATTTTTAGATACATTTAAAGAAGAAATTGCATAGCTGCAACATAATACCGAGCCATGGAATAAAGTAATGGAATATTGGACTCGAACCTGGGAAGTTCGATCCACATCATGTGACATGTCATCCTCAGTGTCGCAATACCTTGCAAAATGACCAAACCAAACCAATGTTTATGCTGTACATACTAAAAATAAACTTTTAACAGAGATATTTTTGCCTTACTTTAAGAATTTTATTTTACTCAAATGAAACAAAAAGAAAATTGTTCGGAAAATTGAAAAGTCTCAAATTTAAAAATATATTTATTCAGACTAAGTAAAAACTTTTGTCGCTTCAATTCGGTCGTATCTTAAAACAAACTTTTACCCTTGTTTATATCATATACAAGGCTTTTACTAATATTCATTTTGAGAAATAAGTTACTCAAATGCAGATTGAATATACTTTAATCAAGAAAACCATTATATAACTTTAAATTCGAGGCATTTCACACAGAGTAAATGCAATTTTTATTGTAGAATTAGTTTATTTTCGCTTTAAATGATTGGATATCTTAAAACAACAATCGTTTGTGTCTTAGATATAGTATACTAAATATTTAAATCTAAAATTTTTATTCTTGTTTTATAAAATAAATCATTCATTAGGAGAATATTGCAGCATTAAATTTATCATTCTAAATAATTAGTATAAATATATATTTCTTTGCGTATATACAAAGTTAAGATTTATTCTATTTGAGTATTAAATGTTCAAAATAAGAATATTCTTTTTTGTGTGTACTATATCCGTATTGTAACACATTTTTAGACAACTTCTTTACTTTTAAGATTTTGCTGGTCAAACATCAACAAAATATTCCTTAATTTTGGACTAAATTTTCTCGAAAATAAAGACATAATTTAAAATTACGTTACAATACGGAAATAGATTGAAGTTTTGTGATTACAGTGATATATAATTTATTTTATAATTGATTTTGTAACAAATTGCTCGATATTTTATGGCAAATGCTGAAGCCCTGCAAACCTGAATCAAGCATTAAAATCTTCAAAGCACGTTTGTTTGGAATTTTGGGTGTGGCTTAACACGACAGGATCGGGCTAAGCCTTAGGCAGATTTCTGAAATATAATATATTTCCTTGGGCCACACACCAGCTTTATCCGACCCGAGAGCGACCCGAACAGTACAGCGTAATAGACTCTTAAGATTACTTAAAATCCTTAATAAGAAATCCAGAGCCGTATTTAAAGAAAGAAAGTTGATGAGGGTAGCTTTAACACGAAACGTGGGTTTGAAAATTTGATAACACCTTCTTGTAGAATACAAAGAGTAGCAATGAGAATGTGACATTAATTTTGCTATTTCTATTAAAATAGAACCATAAAAAATAAATAAAAAAAGTCTCAAAAGTCAGTCGTCTCAAAAGTGGCTCACCCCTATAACTTTTTTATTTTTCCAGATAAAAAAAACGAAATTTGGTATGTTAGTATATAACATAAAGGATTGATTGACGTACTCAATTGTTTTCGGTCACTTCCTGTTTCACCGGAAAGTACTACAACTTTTGATTTTTAAATGGCACCCTCGATTTTTTATTACTTTATTCGATAGAAAATGACACTCGGAATAAAATGACATCATATGTCAACTTTTGACATTCTCACATATTATGGTTTATTTGAAATTATAACATGTGGTTCATAACGAAAATTTGACTCGAAATACCAAGTGTGTCGTACGAAATTATTCGTAAAAAAATGCTTTTTCCAAATATGCTAATGAGCCACCCTCGTTCCATTTCTTTACGAATAAAGTAATAATAAAAGCTTTTTCCTACGAATAATTTGGTACCACACCCTTGGTATTTCGTGTCAAATTGTCGTTATACAACCATTACAACCCCTATTTCTTTTACCATTTTTGTGTTTCTTATAGAATTCTACATAAACTGCATTATTTCTTTGAGAATTTTATAAGGAACTCAAAAATGGTAAAAGAAATACGGGTTGCCATTTAAAATTTTAGGGGTAGGTGGGGGTAACCAATGGTAGGTAGGTAACCCTGGGGGTCAAAGGGTTGAAAGTAACACGACAACAAATGCCTCAAAAATTGTCCCCCTTGATATGTAAATTGACGTATTTCGCCGAATTATCATATTATCATCGGTAGAGGTAATATTGTTCGTTTTCAAATTGTCACCCTGTATACAAACTAAATACAATTTTTTTATTTAAATTTTACTGGATCTTTTTGCAGGTCTAAATTTGGTTCAGTACAGAAAACTGATGCCAGCAATAGACTCTCCTGTGGGAATCCCAGTGAAAGGAGAAACGATCGGCCTGGGAATGGGTTACAGGGACCCGACCAAGTTCAGGTTTACCGAAATCCAGAAACCGTTCGTTGATATTTGCCAACCGGCATCGTTTACAAGAAGTAAGTTGTTCATTGTTGGCATTTTACTAATTTTACTCAGAGTGTTTACTTAGCATTTTATTTATTAAAGTAAGAAATTATAGTTTTATCATCATCATTTTCAGCTTATGCTCTTTCACTATATTTTGGAATTCGCATAATTGAATAAAGCAATTAATTCTAGAATTTTCATTTCGAAAGAATCTCATTTTCGAAAAACTTGAAGTCGTTCTTAAGAAAATAAATAAAAACAAGAGAGCCCAGAATAAAATCCGCACTTTATCTTTAATACGTCACACCTGGCATCATAGAATAACTAACTGAAAGAAATGAAAACTCCTATGTTAAAGCCTGGAAACACGCGCTCGACGCGATCCAAGCGGGCTACTGGCAGAACTAATAGTTCGCGCCATATTTTTAAATGGACCTTTACTGCCAGTTCATAAGTTTTTTACTTATATTTGGTAATTTCAATCTAGATTATGATTGATTACAGCTTCCACAAACGGAGTAAACAAAAAATTTAACCTCAACTTTATTATTCAACATGCACGTCAAAACAAATCGCAATGTTGCCAGTTGTTGGCTGGCGCACGAGCACGGTTCTGCAATGTGATTGGGCGTATTTTTCATACGTCGTCAATTGGCACTTTAAAATTATTCCAAGTTAAAGTAATTTTGAGGGCCTATAAAAAATTATTCAATGTCATGGAACTATTTTTTTTGGATAAATATACTGAAAATAGTCTTCTATTCAGATTTTGTCGAGGATTTTGTCCTTGAATTGGGTATTTTATTTTTTGTGAAAGAGTCCATCAACAATATTAACATTGTGTACATTTTATCGAATTTTGATAAATCTATTAAAAATGTGGTGATATATTTTTGAAATCATTAAAAATGCAATCTAATACATGTCTAATAGTGCCCATTTATAAAAATAATTTAGAATATACCCGGTGCGTCTCAAAACTGGCATCAATAAAACAAAATATTGGGGTGAGTCACTTTTGCGACGCACCCGTTATACAAATAACTGTGACATTTGACAGTACATAACCATTTAGGTAGTACTTAATAAAACTTTGTAAAAACCCTTCAATCCTGATTTTTTATAAATTATAATAGTGTTCTATCTACAAAAATAAAATAGTTATAGTCAGTTAAATGTATAGGACACTCTTCATTTAGATTTGGTTTTCATGCGATCGCATGGTAGATTATGTGTGAAATTGTTAATAGAGAAATAATTAATCACGTATGAAAAGAACAAAAGAAAATAACTAAAAGTTCTTTTTTTAATAAGTTTTAAAATATTAAAAGCTTTCCCTCAACATATGTTTTTAAATATATCTAATGATTAATATGCATGAAAGGATGATCTATTTAAAGTTATGGGAATTTCCCAATTTTTAATTGGTTTACATTATTCTGTCTGAACCGATATTAATCATACGAAAGAAACCACGAATAGTCTGAGATATATGTAAGTAAATTTAAAAAAATCTGTTTATATGACGCAGCGTAATTAGATCTAAGATTATTTGTATGATTGATTTTAATTTAGTTATAACCACAGCTGTCTAATGTAGGAGCGGATAATTTTTTTATTCCGGCCGAAAAAGTAGCATTATAGCCCCGTACGCGCCTACAAGCCAGAAGTGCAAGCAGGGGCGTAGATAGGTGTATGCTATGGGGGTGGTACTATGATTAAGTCGCAAAAAAAATCACCGTCGGAATTTTTTTGTCGAATTAAAACGACGGCGATTTTTTTGTCTTCAAAAAGATATAAAAACATAACACAAAAATTAAAATATAGATTTGTAAATAACATAAATAAAAAACTCTAAACTATCAAAAAAAACTATAAAACTATAAATAAAACTACAAAACAAAATCAAGTTTTCTAGTACGCTGTTTGGAAAACCTATCAATAACAGCATCAACATTTTTTCAATATCTTTATGGATATTGATTAGAGTTAACCCCACTAATCTGTCCTGGCCAATAAGAACACTTTGTGTGCTTTTAATTAGGTCGAACATATTATAAACGATAAATCAACATAATTAAAAGCATACAGTGTTCTTATATGTCGGATATTAATTAAAAAAAATCCTTTCATAGTCAATAACTATTTCAATTCTCGTATCTCGTCAAGCGTCAGGGGGGGGGTACTGTCCCCCAGTACCCCCCCCCCCCTTATCTACGCCCTTGAGTGCAAGTGAAAATGTTTCTATTTCTGAGCCAAGCGGCTGCACGGTTTTCATGGCAACGTGACATCAGCCTAGCGGCAGATGTAAATCCCCCCGCCCCGAAGTTTATTATCGGAGACCGATGTGAATGAGTTTTTGGTTTGGGGCAGTTCTCTTCGTCTTCCTTTCGTTCAGGAAATGCGTGACAGCAGCGCATAATTTATGCATTTATGCTAATATTCGGCTACTTCGGCGAGTAATTAACCGTGTAAAGACTGAAAAGTTGTTGTTGTTATTTATTGTTGTTTGTTAATTGCTTTTGTCGATTTAACTTGTAAATTTTTGCCGATTTTTACTGTTTGTGCTGTTTTGTTGTTGTATTTTTTCTTTTGTGTGTGTATGTGTTAAAAAATGAACCCAATTAATGACTTGGTGTGCAATTTATTGGAAACTCCCTTCAGACGGTGGACAGATGAAGATAAGAGGGATGTTTTATCTCAAGGGTGACCAACTGAAACTTTAACCATAAATTAAAAAAAGGAAATTAGAAAAAGTGGTAAATCTTATAATATTAAATTTAAGTCTTCCTGGATTTCTGATTTTAATTGGCTATGTAGTAGTATTGTTTTACAAAAATTATTTTGTTGGTCGTATTTACTATTTTGTAATAAACATGGCATTTGGAATAAAGAAGGGTTCACTGATTTCGTAAATATAACAAGATCTTTGCATAAACACGGGGATTTTGCAGAACATTTAAAATGTCAGTTAATGCTAAGAAATTTAAAAAAAAATCAAAATACATCAATAGCCGATGCTTTAGAAAAAAACGTTAGACTCTATAATCTTAATTTTAATGGAAATGTTCGTTTAAATAGGCTTTAATTAATATAATTAATTAATTAAATGACGATATTACTGATAAGTTTGCATCAATAAAGAGAGAAAATTTGAGCTGATTTAGGTACAAAAATTAGTAGGTAAGGTTAGTAATATAAATAAGTCAAATTTAGTTTGATTAATATTGATTAGTAAACATTAATGTAATAATTGAATGCTCTTCGGTTGTAACCAACAATTTTTTCAATATCGAAATTTCAGTGAAAATTTCACACCTCTACTTTTCAACCAATAACATGCTTTAATGTTGACTAGTTACCATGGCAACTGAAAAAATTTCCGGAAATTTTTTCGAGGCGCCACGAAACTTTAGTGGAAATTTTTTGACAGTTGAAAAGGTAAACATAAGATCTACAATCATAATGTGAATGAACTACAATGTCTATATATTGAAATATTACCCATTTGAGTTTTAGCATTTGATGTAACTAATTAAAAATATAATAATATTTGTTAATATTATTAACAAATTGAAATTATTTTAAAATGTCATGTTGGATTAATATTTTTTTTTCAAATTTAGGTGTGAAATTTTCTTACCGAATACCACGCAAGCTTAAATTATTTTCGGAAATTTTCTTTCGGGCACGAATATTTTAGGAAAATTATCCCTCGTCTTCGACTCGGGATAATTTTCAAAATATTCGTGCCCTCAAAAAAATTTCCGAAAATAATTTAAGCTCTTGTGATATTATAAGTGAAAAAACCGAAGAAAAAAACGTTATATCTATGAAAATTACAACCTTATTTTACTGAAATCTCTATTTTGAAAAAAATGTTTTTCGGGGAAGCCATTCAATAATTACAGTGTTCGCCATAAAGTTGGATCCATATGGACGGTCAAAGTCACCAAGTCAAAGTTGAAACATAATTTTGTTTAGTCACTTTTTTTAAAATAATAATAATTTAACCAATTTTTAAAAATTTCTTTTAAATATTTTGTATTTGACAGCTCCCAGATGTTAGCTGTCAACTTTAGCTTGGTGCATTTTAAGTTGTTTTCAAAGCAGAAGTGATTGCCACAAAAAGATTTTTTAAAACTTTAATATAAAAAAAACGTCCATATGAATCCAACTTTATGGTGGACACTGTATATAATGTTTATTATATTTAATTTAAATTTAATTATATTTTACTAGAATGCAAAATAATTTGTTTATCGAAAACTGGTTGTATCTCTTTTTACTTAATGCGTTTTAGCCCAAACTAAAACGAAAATATTATAGGTATTATTGTATAAATAATAACAAAAAAAAAATGTTGACAAAATTGTGAATGCAGCAAAAAATTTTCAATTAATATTTTAAAAAATGTTGACAAAATAGTGAATGCGCCAAAAAAATTGTCGCCTGCAGCGCAATTTGCACAAACTTAACTCTTCACCTAATTTTTTCCCCACGAGCCGCCACTGTTACTTAACTCTATATAACAGTTATTTTTCTACAAACGTCAGTAAAAATGTAATTTTTAACCCATGCTGTCAGTGCCTAAAATGTGACATTATGTCACTGATGGTAAAAGTCATTTACTTTTAGCACTGGTGCTTATATTAGTTATGCAGTTATAGCAACTAAGGGAGGCAACACAAAGTATCAGGGTATTTTTACAAATTTTTTTATGTTTGTATACTTGAGTATTACAGATGTTTTCTTTAATATCGTTAGTTCTGTTATCGTTATTAATGTTTATTAAAACCAGAACTGTATCGTTAGTCTAACGTTTTTTTTTTTAAATTTAATATAGAGTATCCAATGCAGGCCTAATATGCCGTTACGACAATAGTCACTAAAACTATCTCGTCATATAAAAAAACTGCATCAAAAAGTAATGATAATTGAAAAAATTGCAAATTATTTATTACACACTGTATAATATGCTAAATACTAAAGTTTATAAAAAACTTAGTTTACGAATTAAAGTTGATAT